TCCCTACAAAGGTCACCTACAAGTAGCCTGAAAAAACACATGGTTTGCTCACAAAAGCAGCACCTGGTGCAGCAGAGCTCAGTTTTGAGCAAGAAACCCTGGGATGACATCTACCTGCTGTGTTCTCATTCAGTCACTGTACTGCTCCACCAAGAAGGTTCTCATGGAGGGTTTGTTAGATTTCTACCAAAAAATATTTGTCATGCTGTTCATGCTTTAACCTTTCTTTTTAGGGGTCTAGCTATTATTTTGCTTCATCCTACTGACTGAATCACATACGTGGAGATTCCTTTATAAGCGCCCAAAAAAGAGAGAAAGCCCCTACTGTTGAGCCCCTACTACTGCATGTTGTTCTGCTCTGGACCTGATCCAGCAAAGCACTCTGCAATGGGCTTAAGTGTTTTTCTGGATCAGGGCCAGAACACTCCATTCTTTATAGGATCGAACTTACTGGTGGCAGCTTGAAAGTTTGCAATGAAAGCACAAACTAGTGACATAAACTTTTGTGAAAACCATTCCCTCAACAGACAAGGAGGGGTGATACCTGATTTAGAGACATTTGTGGTCATTTTGTTCCCAGTCACTGCCATACTGCATTGACAGCTCATAATTGCTTAGATAGAGAAACTTAACAAAAATGTATTGTAACATTTCTTAATGGCGCCATCCCTTGAAAGACACCTAGGCAATGGCAAGAGAAAGGACAATCTTGTAACATTTCACTGACTGCTGTGCTCAAAGTGATTTGTTTTGTTTTAAAGATCCAGTCTTGGGCATTATGGCAAGTCCACTGTTATCTACTGAAATTGTTTGGAAACAGCTCTGCTATGGTATGGGTTTTCTACTGCTGTGAAAAGCACTGAGATAATCTGGAGCTCCCCATTCAGAGATGCTCCTTTGTCATCTCAGCAGATAAGTGTTTTCAGTCCATCCTCAAGAAATGGAGGCTGTCAAGGAACAGAGGGAGCAATCCCCTTCCCGCCTGACCCTAACCCACTGCTGCTAATGCTCTCAGTGCACAATAGCTTAGCAGAAGACATCATTCACCCCCAGGGAAAGCTCCTGTATCCTAGTGGTCTCCTTGCCTAAAGTCGTAGTCACTGGTGTTCCTGGCTTGCTCTGAAGCCCTCCTAACACCATCCTCCAAAGAGTTACATCAGAACCATATGTTTGGGGTCTTTTTCATCCTTGTTGTCCCAAAGAGTTTTCTTCAGAAGAAAAGGTAACAGAAACTACAAGTCATAGAACATGACATTAGTGCACTCTGCTTTTTTTCCCTAAGGCCTGTAGGGAGAGATACACACAATGCAATTTCAGTCCTACCCCCCACCAGCCCACATTTGCTCCTCACCCTCCATCCCCAGGCCCCTGAAAACTCATT